ACATCTAATTGTCAGCACAGCTTGTGCCTTCCGAACGGGTAGCGCTTTTGCCTTACTTACACATAAATACCGTTGGTACCACACGATTAAGCTGCGGGTTTTCGATTCTTGTGTTCATGACACGCAAGTTATGAAGAAAGCGGCAGGCTTACTTATCGCTGTCTCTTACACAACCGCCAATCTGACTGGGAGGTATTTGACAGGTATAAGCAGTCATTCTATATCACTCGATCTCGGCTATTTTTTGACATTTTTTTGTTTTGTTGAGATAGCTTAGTGCCGGCAGTCTCACAACTGTTTGTCTACTGTGTTGACAAAGAAGGATGTCATCTACAACCGATTTATATATGTTTATAATGTGCCCACTGTGTTTGCTCAACAGGTCTACACAAGCCGGTGTTGAATGGCGCCTGGGCATGGCACAGCATGGAGCAGACAAATTACACAAACTGGGACGTAGGGTTCCCGCGACGCCTTCGTTCCGGTCGTGAGGTGCACAATCGACTTGGGCGAATGGGACGTCATCGTCGTCGTCGTCTGTTCCGCCAATATTCGCACGCCTCTCTCTAACAGACTTTGTTTTGCCCACATTTCCACACCACCTGGCAGAGCTCGTCCACGTACAGTGGACGTCTCCGTCGATCGATTAGCCATCAGCCACAACAAAAGCATCCACGTGTTTGTGTTATGCTGAGCGAGAGGGGACTGGCTTGGCAGAACGCCGCCTGCGTCGGTGAGACTCGAATGCCGTTTGTCTGCATGAAAAACACCAACTGACCCGGAACAACAAATTAACACACGAACAACCACACTAAATGCCAACTTTGGAGCCGGGCACACCTCAACTCTTATTTACTGGTCTCTCATGCATGTAAGGTAAATGCATCTACAATGTATCCGGATTCTTTGCCTTTCAGTTTCAAAGATGCAACATGTATAGAATATTGAACGAAATCGCTTTCATTTCTTGCTGTCGGTAGTTAGTTTGGCTAAGCTGCGTCGTTTTTGCCATAAACACGCGTTCACATACCGTTAAAGAAAGGTTAATGTGGCAGGTTCTAAAGACAACTTTCGACAATTCTGTCGCGCTGCCTGCATTTCGATTACATTGAATGCGAGGGAGATTCTCCGCATGTGGACCTGCGACAACCATGAACGGGTTGTTCAATGAACGCATTGCTTAGACGTGCGCAGTTGCACCAGCAATCACATTGGCGCTCCAATGGAGCTGATGTGCGCACCGGCGCTACCGCAACAAAGACAGACTTCTGCGCCATTGGTGGAGACTTCGCTCATGTGCGCTTTTAGTTTACAGACGACGTGTGGTCGGGACTCACTGAAAACCCTGGTGGTTTGACGAACCAGAAATTGTCTACTGTCACTGTCACCGGGTAGTAAATAATAGAGCCAAGACGATTCTTGATGCATAGACAAATATGTTGTATACTTTAATTGGTGTACAGGTAGGGAAAACGGTAATTATTCGTTGATGAGACGGGCGATCCCGATGTTGGTGAGGCAGGCAGCGTGTCACCTCAGTCGACTGTGCAGGGTTATCGACCACTTCCAACGTACAACGCCTCTGAATAGTTCCACGTCTCTCCAGGTTATCCTCATGTCACGGACACCATTTTTGACAGGAAAAAATTATCAGATTTTAGAAACTGCAATCCTTGTCTTCGATATGAACTGAATTGAATGAGGCTGACCTATGTTTAATCGTTACTCTATCAAACGGAGTGCCTCCTACTGGTTAAAATCGGCGATACCTATGTCGGCACTAGGATGGTGCTAACAGGTAATGGTCTTTCGTGGAAACAAACTTCACAAACACAAGCGTGCACAGCCTTGCACTGGGATACAGGATGGGTGTGGTTTGAGGAGCCTGATTTAAGATTGAGACAGCGCCTGTTGCATTTCGGCGGAATTAAATAGTTCACTAGTATGCCACCCTAGGTTGAAAAGCACCCAAATGCTTTCAAGCATTCGCTTTGACCTGTGAACGGATTTACTTAATATGTGATGAGCTAGTGTAGAAAGCGACGCCTTATCATGCAGCCCAAATATCGAACGGGGAAAGAGCTGCGTTCATACAGATGCAAAGACCTAATGCGATGTTTGCGAGTAACGTATATCCACTAGGTGCTTTCCGCTTTCGCATTTTTAGGCACTAGCATTTTAAGGATCGTCTCAATATCTGACTATGTATTATAGCGCTTTCCATTGAAAACTATTCTAATGAAAGCTGTTCTTCTGTCCTCTTACGATGTCTTATGTGCAGTCAGCTAGCAGATACTTGAGATGAAATGTATCAGTGCGGGCCATTATTTGTTCACAAACTGAGAGAACATTTTAATCGCGACTAGTAAAAACCATTGAAAAACTGTTTTTACACCATCTCATGGGAGGACACTGGTGGCCGACAGCACTCTACCTCGTCAAAATGAGTCCACATCAGATGACAGGTTGTCGTTATGCTTTGTTTGACAGGTATGTGCAGTGCGTGTCTGTAGTTCTGGCGTTAACCGTTAAGGCGTTTGGCAATGTAACCAGTTCTACCGCGAAGGTTACTTAGTGCTAGTTTGTAAAAATGCACATCGAGGTTGCAAGTGTAGGTTCCGTTGTAAGTATTGAAACGCATCAGCTTCATCGAGCAAAATCTACGGACTACCTTTCCAAAACACTAGCGGATGGAAAGGTTTGCCAAATCCTCTCGCCAAAGGAGAGAGCCGATGTGAATCGTGTTTATTCACAACCCTTAATCCGGTCGCTCCACCTCCGACACACATGTCATCAGCCGCGCGAATCCTCAACTCTCTCGTCACTCACACGGATGTTTATCTTAGATTATCCTCACACCTAGGTCTCGGTGTTAGCGTGAAAATCTCACAGGCTACCACGGCTTCGTCAAGTTGTCGAATTAAAACAGTCGACTCTCTGGTTTTTGGTGTCGCAACAGTTGCATCACATCTAAAAACGAGTGACTACAGTGAGTCAGCATCATCAAAATATTCCAAGTTGTGACGAATATCTACGACTGTAAAATGTCAAATTACCCATTATTTTGGGAAAAATACGACCTATGTGTGTGTGGCAGTGATGCCTGGAATGCACTAGTCGAGAATTCCTGAGGTAGACGCCAAAAGCAACGGATGCATGGGACCGAACCCCAAATATATTTAGGCGGCTATCTGTTTCCATGGTTCCGTCGTTGAGCCATGAATTCAAAATACCCTGATGACCACATGTTTAGAGAAGCAGCCTGAGGTAAGGCGTTATTCGTTTACTTGATGCAAGACGCACACTTTGTAGTTAATTTTCGGCTTGTACTCCTTGTCAAAGTGTTGACAAAGCTACTCTTGGTCTTTACTGGCTACTGGGACGTCGTCAATGCACCATAATGCCAAATCAGTTATCGGTAACATACGAGAAGCACAAGGCCAGACATTTCAAACGAAGTTATACTAAACAGAGATGTATTTGCATTTAAAATAAATACGGACCAAGTAAGCTTAAAAAACACTACTTTGTCAGGCTAGTCAGATGGGATGTCTTGCTTGAGACAGTGCTTTGGAACGGTAGCTGCACACACGGCTTCATAAGCACTGCGGGGAAACGAGGAGCAATCACTTTTAAACCGGACTTGGCACGCATTCGAGGCTGCGTGTGAAGTTGTCGTGGTTTGTTGGGGAAAGGCTTCACACGGAGGCATTTGCAAATTAGAGAATTCTGCTCTTGAAGTGAATGGGAAAAATGCAGTGACGTAAACACGAAATTCGATCAAAGCAGACGTTTCGCAGTGGGCGCGGAGAGACACTTGATGTGTTGGTACCTAGATGCAACATCAGGCGCACGCCAGATGACTTGGTTTGTGGTACGAGAGAGCGGCTTAAATGTCTCCCTACAGTTAACACTTCTACTTCCGATTAGCATCTTTAATACGATTTTGCGATAACTGATGACCTGATTGTTTGTGTACAACTGTGTGTGTGTAAATACGTGCAAAAAGCAAGGCGACTAGAATAATAAACCAAATAAGAGAGATTAAAGCAATTAACTCAGGACTAATACAGAACATTCACTGCGTGTATTCAATAAAATCTCCGACTGTTGTTTTTTGTAATTTTTATAAAGTGTATCATAAAATATTTATAACATGGGAATTCCGCTACCATGGGCTAATTAACCCAGTTCAGCAGGTTTCCGTATGAAAGCTGAATATGGTGATAACTTGTTGCTAATTTTTCTATCACAATAAAGAGTGTGAACAGCAGGAATTGTTCGAATGGGTGGCAGTGGATTCATCAAGA